GTGTGGGGGGTGGAGCGGCTCTGGGAACAGTGCCGCCCAGCAGAGGCCTCACCTGTCCTTGTGGCACAGAGGTGAAGCCCAGTTTCCAGTAGGAAATGAGGGAGTTCTTCATGGTATTCACAGTGAAACCGTAGAAGGACGTCTTGGTGCCCACATCGTCCTCGAAGCCTTTGGTCACAGCGCCATTGAGTCTGATCCCAACAGAGGCCCATCAGCCTCCTTGCGGTTCCACCATGCTATGTGTTTGTACTTCCATCCCCAGGGCTCCGCCACACCTGTCCCTGTGCCATTGCACGGACCACTCCCTCTGCCCACCGCAGCACCCCCGCCCGCTCCCCACCCCCATCCCCACTCCTCCAGACCTCAAGGGGCGCCCTGTAAAATGGGCACATCTGGCCCTGGCAGCTCCTTCCTCCCTGGTCCCCTTGGCATGTCTGCTTGCATATGCCTTCGTCCATGCCTGTCTGCCCGTTACAACTGCCGAGCCACCTGCGGCCGCTGCGGCCTTGGCCCATGGTCCTCGTGGAGGATGCTGCCTGCCCCGGGGCTGGCCAGGACCAACCAGCTCTCCACCCAGCTCCTCTGCCACCGCCCCCCCCCACCATACCTGAACACGTAGTCGTGGGCATCGATGTTCAGACCCTGGCGGGAACCATTCAGGATACCTCCGTTACCCACCACGGCACACCGGACGCAGTCCGGAAGCCGCTCCCTGGAGACAAACAGCTGGCCGTTCTCCGAGCCATTCAGAAGGCTCAGGGTGGAGGTGATGGCTGTGGGGGCAGGACAAGGTGAGACGCTATGGAGGGCTGTCATGGGTCATCAGGGACCTTCCCAAGACTGTTTCTGGCGCCCCAACTCGCACTCCGCAACCCCTCCCAAGAGGCACAGAGGATGGGACAGGGAATGAAATGTCAGTGGGGCCATGAGAACAGAAAAGGGGACGGTGAGGGAGGGGGTTTGGCTGTGCCGGCAGTGCCTCAAGAACTCCAATAACAAGCCCTTCGAGGCTGTATTCCAAAAGGAAATCATCTGGGGCACGTGGGGGCAGATTTAACGGGGGGGGGGCCTGGGCCGTTTTCCACAGCAGCCAAGGTCAGCAGGCTTTTGGGGCCTCACAGGCCATCTTCGGCCACCTTTGGACATTGGCTCCGTAGCCTTTCATGCCAGGGGCGCCTCAGGATGCTGAGAGCTGCTGGGGCGGGAAGGGAGCTGAGTCCCCCTTACTGACCCTGTGTCCTTGTGGGGGCAGGACGGTAAAGCAGGAGTCTACAGCTTGGGTGTGGAGCCCCGAGGCCCCCTGGAAAGGGACGGGGCGGGTGGAGGGGGGGCGGTGAATGTCCCACATTATGATTCTGTGAGGGCAGGGAGGCCTGGCCTTCATTAGAGCCAAAAGCAGGAGGAAGGGACCAGCTGAGGTCAGAGGGCTGGGCTAGAGGCAGCGGCTGCGGGTTACCTTGACGGGAGAGCCCCTGCCAGCCGTAGGGGGCTTTGTGCTGGCTGAGGCTGTCCCAGAGCTCCTGGGTGAAGAGGTCCCCTGACAACAGCACTGGAATGGAGAAATCAAACAGACTCCGGAAGTGGGCGTGCCGCTGAATGGCGAGAGAAAGTGGGTGTCGGCAGGGCCCGCTCTGTGGATGAGAAGATAACAGGGCTGAGCTCTGTTAGCTGGGGGCTGGCGTGGGTGGGAGCCTTCCCAGGAGGCCGAAGCTTCCTGAAGTTACCCTGCCCAGCCCTTCTCCTGGAGGCCACATCTCGGTGGCCTGATGGCTCTAGCCTCCTACTCTTTCACCCCATGCTTGGGGAAACTTTGGGGCATTTCCCATGAATGGATAAGACCTGCCTACCCTTGGGCGGAGGAGTTCCAGCCTGGGCTTTGGAATCCATCAGCCTGGATCCTAATCCAAGCCCTGTGGGGTTTTTGTGGAAAGAGCTATTGGGAAGATTATGATCGTCTCTTTTCTAGCCAGTGCCTATACAGGGTTGAATAACGTCCCCCCAAAATTCGTGTCTGCCCAGAACCTTAAAATGTGACCTTATTTGGAAATACATCTTGGCAGATGTAATTAGTTAAGATGAGGTTATACTATATTGAGGTGGACCCTAAATTCAATGACTAGTGAGTGTCCTTGTAAGGCCGCCATGTGATGATGGAGGCAGAGGCTGAGTGATGCTGCTGTAAGCCGGGGAACACCTGCAGCCACCAGAAGGTAGCAGAGGCCACCTAGAGAGTTCTGCTGACGCCTTGATTTCAGACGTCTGGCTTCCAGAACTGTGAAAGAATAAATTTCTCTTGTTTTAAGCAGCCCGATTGTGGTCATTTGTTCAAGCAGCCCTAGGACACTATACAGTGTGCATCCAGAGACTTTGAAGGAGGGTGAATACTGACCAGTCCATCTGCCTGCAACCCCCACGGCAGAATCCCACACGGCTTTGGCCTGAGTGGGACTCTCACCACTGAAGGGGACCCTTTGTTAAGGCGCTTGGTTTAATCAAAGGACAATGCAGGAAAGAGCTGTATAGTCATTTCTGTGATAATGTGACAGAGAAATTCTTAAAAATTGCCACACTGCAAAACTGCAATGAAGACCGCAGGGCTTTGGGGAAAACAGGATGAGTGGTACAACACTCAAAAACTTGGCAGTGACGTGAAAAACAGGAAAGGGAGACAGAAAGCTTTACACACATTCAGTGGTTAAATACATAGGGACTATTAAAATATGGCATTTGACCTTTGAAAAAACTTGACATTTGCTTGCAGAAGTGGGCGTCAGAAGGGTGTCAGCTTGTGGGTTATTGTGAATTGGTGGAAGGAGGGTTATACCATACACATGAAGAAGCAGATGGAGTGTACATGTGTGTGCATTTTGTATATTCCTACGTGGCTCCCTTGGGTTGGGTGTGTTTTTCTGCATTTAACCCAGTGTTCTTGCTGACAGAATCACCAGGAACAAACACAAAATTTGTGTTTTGCTCAAATTGTTTCCTAAGATATCAGTCTTGCTGGAACAAATTCATGTTTTCAAAGCAAGCGTTATAACAGAATTGACTGTAGTGGTTTCACTAATATTCAATTTATCATAATGTTGTTTTCCGGGACCTTCTTTATGAGACAAGGAGAAAAATCTCCAGGTCTCTGTATCAGGAAAGGCTGCGCTTCACTTGGGCAGCTGCTTTGCTTTTATCTCATGGCCATGGTGGCAAGGTTTCCTTCTTCACTGTGGCCACCAGGAAGCTCAGAGCCAGATATATGACTCATCTCGTATACCTTGTGGCACATTTTTCATGCACTTATCTCATGTCATCTTATTTTCCTTCACCCGTTTCTATTTTATGTTAGGTTACGTTATGTTGTATTGTGATGTGATTTTATTTTGTTTTGTTTTGTTTTTGCCTTGCTATATATATCTAAAAGCTACCTCAAATCATTTTTCTTAAAAGCAGGTGGGGATGTATATCATTTAGTGCCAAGCAGCTCCAGGTGGAAAAGACTTGAGGAGTGTAAAGGTGACCTGGCCAAGCACTCGTGAGACACTTGAGGCCTCTCTTCAGTCTGCCGGCCAAGTGTCCACCCCACCTCTGTTCTCAAGACAGGTGCCCATTCGCCCGCCAGGGCTGTTTGCTAAGTCTCTGAGCAGGTCATCTGTCACTAAGTCTTGCATCAGTGAAATGTTCCTGAGGCCAGGGAGAAATATTTCAAGTTCTAGTTTGGTCTCTTGGGCCCTGTAAAGAACTCTTAGACCCAAATAAACCCAGAACAGTCATCACCCTGCTCACGCACAGCTCACAGGGCGTGAGGCTGTATGGCTCAGCGGTCCAAGAGCCCAGGGCCTGGGGTCAGAGCAGAGGCTCAAATCCCGGTACCACCTCTTCCCCCTGCCCTGAGCAAGGTACCTGCCCTCTCTGTGCCTTATTTTGCTCATCTGTAAATACTACCTAACAGGTTTGCCAAGAGTGAGTGAGAGAACTCAGGGAACATGTTCCAGATGGCACTTCAGCCAACAGTCACCGCTGACTGTTAGTTACCGTCAGGGCCTGGGAGGTTCTCAAGCCCTCGGGGCAATCATGGAGTGTCTTCCCAGGGTTTGGTGTTTACTCCACGGTGAGCAGTTTAAATGTGACTTTTATAGTAAGAAGACATTTTGAGGAGTAGCATGTCAAATTCACCAGCCTTTTAAAGATAAATCGCAGGACCTCCATGAAATGTTCAGCTGTCTCTACCCCCGGGGTACATATGGGTTCATCTTCCTCTGCTGGGGTACAGGGAGCCCTAGTGGCCAGGTCCCAGAAGCCCTGATGGCTGGCTCCTCAGAAGTATGTTTCATGCTTGGGGTGCGGGGGAGGTTCCAAAGAGTTCCCGCCCAGACCCTCCTCCCTTGTTCGCTCTCTCCCTTCCTCCCCCTAACTTGAGGATGGATACTCAGAAGTACAGAGTAGCTGACCACTGTACCTTTCTCGTCCCAGGATTCGCTGCCTTGGGTCCAGAGAATGCTTGAGACGCTGTGGTGTTCCTGGGGGAGAAGGCCCAAGTCAGGCAGGGGTCTGACCTACCCCCCAGAGCCTTCTGTCTGACTCCTTTAGCGCCAGGGGCTGACAAAGCCCGCCAGGGTCAAAGCCATCCGTTCCGTTGATCCTTCTGTTTCTGTGCTCTGATTCTGGCCCTTGTCCCTCTCTTTAGGCACACAAAGTCCTGTCACGTTACCACATTCTGCCAAGCCGTATAAACGCAGAAATCAGGAAACCCCTTGGCAAGCGGCAGACATGTGGAGTGTATAGGAACAGTGAGATGGTGGTTAAAAGATGAAAATATAGAATAGAAAAGCTTGCCAGCACCCTGGAATTGTGACCATCCGAGGGGTCTCCCTGCCAGGACCCCAGAGCAGGCATTATATCCCGATGACTTGGGGCCCCTTCACCTTGGATTGCCCTGCCTGAGGGGCTGGGTCTGAAGCCTGACTCCCTGGCTTTGTACCCTGTTGCATCATCTTGGGAGATGACTGAACGTCTCAGAACCCCGGTCTCTGCATCTGGACAGCAGGGATAGTCAGGTTGTTATGACTGATAGTCATATCACGTATCACCCAGTTTTTACGAGGGTTCAGAGAATCTACGTTACCTCATATAAAAAGTGTCCTCTAAATGTTAGCTATGGTTACCTAACGGAAGAAGCAAGAGGACGTTGTTGTGACAGCCTCTATGACAGTGTCCCTTTTGTAGGGCAGTAAGGGGCTAATGTTACTGCCCCCCGCCCCCAGAATGCCCTTGCATCAGGGCAGAGAGCAAACAGAAAGGAAGAGGGGCCCTTGCCCATCCAAAAGGGTGTCAGGCTTCTCCCAGACTCCTGCCCTCTCCCCTGCGAGCAGGTGGGGAGGTTCGAGACAGGCAGTTTGCGAGGGAAACAAAAGCCTGTTGTTACTTGCTTCTTGGGGCTGTGATGGTTGTCACAAGGAAGCCTGTGACCTGCCTCCATTCCGGTTTCCCTAAGATCCTTTAGAGGCAGGGCAGAAAGAGCAGGGATATCCCTTCCCCCTTTCCTCCCTTTCCCCCTTGGACTGGCCACCTGTCCACCCACATAATCCTATAGTTCCTCTTCCTGAGCACAGTAAGACCCCCTTTGAGGAGGAACTGAGCCGTGGCATTCAGCCTAGGCAGCAGCGAGAACCCCCAAGGAGCTTTGGAAAGTGGGAAAACACGGATGCCAAGGCCCCGCCCCTGAGATTCTTATCTGATTGGTCTGGGCCTTCCCAGGTACTGTGCAGCCAGGCTTGAGAGCCTGACAGAGGACAGCTGAACGGCAGCATGGAGATAGGAGGGATAGACTTGCAGGGGAGGTGATGGGGGCTCCCCTGAATTCAGTTTTGCTGCCCAGCCTCAGGGAGGCCTGGCTCATCTCCAGAGCACCCCTCAGTGCTCAGCGACTCCTCCCCATCTCTTGGTCCTCTTAGGACTCCCAGGGCTTTCAGACACAGGCCTGGGGAGCCTGGAAGGAGTGGGGGGAGGGGCCAGTCCACCTATGCCCCTCGGGGAAGTTTCCCCAGCCCAGGAGAAATGCAGTGCATTTTTCATAAAATGAAATTTACTCAACTTAGAGCATATTCTTAGGAGTTCTTGGCCCTAAAATGTCCTTTCTTTTACAAAATAATGTTGACAGTAGGCGGTCACTGGCAGGTAACTGGTGCCCTCTATCTATCCTCACCCCTCCCCCATAAAAAAAAAAACACCTTTTCTTAAAAAACAAGTGTAGACGTCTCCATGCCCGGGAACTACTGATCCAGATTCTTCTGTGAGTAAAGTCGCAGGCTGGGTTCCACTCTAACCTGTGAGAGCCCCCACCTTGGGTGGGCGACCTGGTCCCAAGGCCCTCTCCCCTGTAGCCAGGCAAGCCCATTTCCGGTCCCCAGTTCTGGAGGTCCCACAGCCTGTTCTCTCTGCCCAGAGTGCCACCCCACCTCCCACCCTGCTCTCCCTGGCGCTCAACAGGCCAAGTCGCAACCTGCCCCCTGGGACTGAGCACAGACGTCAGGGAAACACCAAGGAAACAGACAGCTGCTTGGGTTGTACTAGATTTGTAAAAGATAAAAGATCTTTTTAAAAAGCTTCGTCTAGGCGTGATGGCTGTTCCACGAACCTCATCCTTAAAAGTTGTATTCGTCAAAGGACATTTAACTGCATTTTAAAACATCTTCACATAAAATTGACCAAGATCCCCTTTCTTAATACCCTCAACGCTCTCCAGCCTTTCTCCTTACGCAATTTCTGATTACACGGAGGTTCTGTAACGTCAGGTTATCACCTGCTAGAGCACCTGGACTCATAAACAGTTGCAAGCTTATTTCATATTGTTTTGCAATTTGGGGTGCCTTTTGATCTTGTTCCTTGAGAGCCCATACCGATTCTGCTTTCATCCCATTGTACCTGGAGCAAGGTTTCGTGAGGAACGGGCAGGTGGGACAGGGCCGGGGAGGGGAAGCCTGGGCCCAGGGGCCTCGTGGCCAGGCTGTGGGCGCCCTCGCGCCCTCCCAGAGCCAGACTCTGGGCATGGCTCCGTCCGCCTTCCACAAGTAAAGCTAAATCCTTGTGAGGTTTCTTCAGTAACCGGAACCATCACCTATCAAAGGCAGGCTCTCAGGTTTCTCCTCCTGGGGCCACACGTGAAAGGAGGGTGCCCAGGGCAAGCGGCAGGGAGCGGAGCGCAGGAGGAGGTTCCGTGAGGGACACTTGGATGGAGCCCAGAGCCGGCCTCTTCGCAGGATTCCGGCCCAGACGGTGCTTATCAAATAAACTGAGCAAACAGCGCGGGCGAGAGGGTGCCAGGCGCAGAGGGCAGACACGGGAGCACGCGGGAAAAGGCCACCCGCCATAGCCGAGCTGAGTGAAGATCCCGGCAAAGTTGGGACCGAGAGACTTGGGTCTCTGCCCCAAAACTAGATTCTGAAAGAAGCGACGTTACCGAGGGAAAGTTCCCGACAAAAACGGGACTTTTTTTTTTTTTAAATCGGACTCAGGTGACCCAGCCAAATTTGGACCATAGAAAATGTTTCTAACCAGCGCCTGAGAGAATTAACCCGTAAGGCGGTCACCAGTGGCTCGCCAGTGCGCAAGGAACGAGGTTCCTCTTGGGCAGAGGCTGTGGGGCCCCGGGCGGCACGGCTGTAACACCGGGGTGGGAGTTACAGGGGAAAAGGGCCGCAGTCCCCGCGAGGAATCCCCGCTGGGAGCCACCCCAAAGAGGCCGGGGTGCAAGGCGCTCGGAGGGCCCTGGGCGCCCTGCCCGTCTCCTGCGCCCTCCCGGTCAGGTCCCGCGCGGCAGCCCCTACCTGGCTCGGGACCGGGGCCCCGGGTACGGCCTCCCCGCGGAGAACAGGGCGAAGAGGACCCCCGAGCCGGCCGCCGCGAGTAGGAGCAGCAGCAAGAAGAGCGGGCCGCGCGGGAGCCCCATGCAGACCCGGCCGGCGGTTGCCCCGTCCGCCGCCGTCCGGGGCAGCGGGGACAGGCCCTCTTGGGCTGGGCCGTCCTCCTGGAGGCGGCCGGCCCGCCCCGCGCCGCCCGGCCCTGCCCCTCTCTGCCCCCGCGGCGCCTCCCTGCCCCTCTCTGCCCCCGCGGCGCCTCCCCGCCTCGCTGCTCCCCCTTCGCAGCGCCATCGAGGGCTGCGCCGCAGGGCCTGGGAGGCGGGAGTGTCGCCCCTAGCCCCCAGGGCTGCCGGTGTCCCTCCGGCTTTGCCCTGTGCCCGGGGTACTTGGCGGGCACCCCGCCGCTGCGCTCCCGCCTGCGCCCAGCCCCAGGATGCCGCGAGCCCAGGGCTGGGCGCGCAGTCCCTGGGCTGCAGGGCGCGGGGAGACGCTACCACCAGCCCCGCCCGCGGCTTCCGGACGCCTGGGGCCGATGGGGCGGCTCCCCTCGGAGGGACCAAGACGTGTCGGCGTTGCCCTGTCACCTCGGGTGCTTCCAGAATGCTAGCGTAATGAGGGGTCGGTTCCCCAGGGCCAGTGAGCAGGTGGGGTTGGATGTAGGAGCAAAACCCGAGAGCTGAGACCGGGTTGTCCGTGGAGAGGGGCCGAGGTAGGGAGCCTGCTAGATGGGATGGGTGGCGGGGCTGAGGCTCTTCGCCCCTCGCTTGGTGACTGTCCAGGGTGTTCATGGCCCTCAACGCATCGCATCCTCTTTGCAAAACGAGGCCAAACTGGAGGTCTCAGCAGCAGAGAGACCACCTGAGAGGTCCCGCAGGGGCTCCGGTGTCACCAGGAAGGGTGGGGTAGCTCCTGCCAAGCTCTTGAAGCAGAGTCCTCCCAGGTAGGGAGCAGTGGGTGACACGGTATATTCTGCAGTGGGCAGTGTCCCTGTTCGTATATCTCAAAAACCTGTGAAATACCCCAGCATCCCCCCACCCCCCAATTGTCAGGCACTGCAAGGACCAGATGGCCCTGGTCCCTTTCCACCAGCTTCCTGCCCTCACTTGTGTGACTGCAAGGCTTCCGGAAAAGCGTCCCTAGTCTGCGTGTGGGAGGGGCATGGGTTCTTCAGGTGCAGTTCACACAATTTAAAAAAATCCCTCACCTTGCCACCCTGCTGATGAATACTACTTAGAATTGATGGCTTCAAGTTTTTTTTATTTCTATCTTTGTGTTTGTCAGTCGTCAGAATCCTCGTAGATGTTATTTATCCCTCGATCAGCACCTTCTCCCATTTCTTCAGCAGTTAATAAAACATCACACCCTTTCTCTGAGCCCCCAAATCCTATGCCTACCCCTCACTCTCAGTAAATGCCTCACCGGCTTCATGAAGAAAAAGGGAATCACTACGTATTAATTTATGCAACTTTCTATCTTCAAACCTACAAACTTGGCCCCCTACCTAGACTCCAGCCTCAAGGGGAAAGGGCGCCCTCCTCCTGTGTGTGGTTTGACCTCCCCACCCTTGGTCCACCTCCAGTGCCTAAATGCCAATATCCCTGCTCAGACAAGCCTCCTATCCACCCACCTGGAGTCGTCATTCCTCCTCTGCAGCCTGGCGGGATTTCCAGCCTCTCCACCCTCCATTGTCTCCCAGCATATCAGCCCTGTCCCTGAGGCTCCCTTTCCCATCCAGGCAGGACCCCTTGGGGCACAATCTGAGCTACTCTCTCATTGTAACCTGATTCTCTCGTGTTCCTGGCTTTCCGCCCAGCAGAACTCTGACCTGGATTCTCACTCTGATCTGCCTGTGCAGTGTCCCCTCCTCCGTGTGGCCTGAGTGCCGCTGGCAAGTATCCCATTCCAGAGCAAAATGGCATCACCACACATTCACCTTCAGCGGGGCTCTCCACGCCAGTCTTTTTCTTGTCCTTAGCTCCAGGGACCATCCTGCCCAATTCCAGAACATCACCTCTTTCCTCAAGCTTGCTCTCCACCTTGCCATACCTCTAAGTGGGGAGCTCCAACTTCCCATGCTCCTAACTACCAAGTCATCTTCTGTCAGGAACTGTGAAAGTCTCAGATTTACCTTGTGTACACCCTAACAGGTCAGCCTGCTACGGTTATATGGATGCTGGCAGAAGACACGAGACTCCTGGGTCAGAGACAAAGGACTTTATTACTCATAGCACAGCAGGCAGCCTAGGCATCATGATTGTGTCACTCCTCCATGCCTCTCAAGCCCCATGAGGGTGAGGGACAAGGGCCCAGGAGGGGCCACGCAGCGGGTTTGCTGCATAGCTGAGGAGTCCTGAACAAAGGGAACCAGAATCTTTTACCGTGTGCTGCAAGCAGCGCTGCCCTTGCCGTGGTATATCGGACAGTAAGAAAATCCTTCCTCTGCTTCAGAGGTGGGCACTGTCTTTATCTTCCAAGGCTGTTTACTATAACAACGTTCTTGAAAACATAGTCTAGAACAAAAGGGCAGTTAGTGCCTCTGCTCACGACCTGTGCAGAAATGTGACAGACCCACTTGGGGTGGCCTCCCAACATATTCACACCCACGCATCTTCACCTGCTTTGCTCAGGCTCTCCTCCAAGGAAAGCCAGCCTCTGGGCCCTGTCCTTGCACCTTTGCACCTTTGCGGACCTTGCTTTGGCAGCCATCCCCTCCCCCTCTACAAGATCCTAATCCCAGCCTATGAGCATGCCCCCGAATATTTCATCCTAACAAGCCAAGCCAAGCAAAAATAGTCCAAAGAAAACCCCTAGTGAGCTGGCACTCTTCTTATGCCTCCCTCTTCTTTTCATCCTAGTTCTTGGTAGGGGAAGTTCATGCTGTTTCCATTTCTCTCTGCATCTGGTTACTTTACTTACCGCCACTGAAATTGTCCCCACTGAGGCCACCTTCATCGTTCCCAGTGGAGCAGACAGTTTCCACTTCTAATCCTGCTACATCTGCCTCTGAATTTGAATTTGACACTGTTCTCCTCAGGACTACTTTTAGGTCTTTGTCGGCTAAATCCAACATCTGGCCATTCTCACAAGGCAGTTTGTGCTGCCTGCTTTCTTCCAGTGTAAGAGTCATACTTTCCTGCTTCTTGGCTTGTCTCATAAGTTTTTCTTAGACACTGGATGTTTTAAAGAATGTGGCAACTCTGGGTATTGGTAACCCCTCCCCCCAGGCTGGTTATTATTTGCTTGTTTGTTTAGTGATTGGCAGGCTTATTTTGGTGAAGTCCCCCCACCCTCACTCCCTTGAAGTGTTAGACCTCTGATGCTCTGCAGGGAAGGGCTGCTAAGAGTATGCACACAGTCACCTGGGATGGAGTGATTTGGGCTAAACTCTCTTTATCTCTTTTCCTGACCACACTCAGCTCTTAAGCTCTATTAAGTGCCAGCTGATTGCCCTTTGTTTACAAAAATGCCCTGGGGCACACATTGCTCTACAGACTTAGGCTCCTTTGAAGGAGTAGCTCTGGCATTACTGTTCTGACCCCAGTGGGGCTCCTCCTAGCTATCCCTTTCCCTGGTTCTTTCTCACCAACTAGGTGGCTCACACTTTGGCCTTTATCTTCATCGAATCCACTGATCGCCTCCCAGTGGGCTTTCACCACAGCCCCCACTGTTTTTTAAAACACCTTTCAGCTTGAATTTCTCCACCCTGGGTTGCAAATACAGTCAGGTCCTTTGGGAAGAGATTAGGACCTATCTGTTTTACAGACCTAGCTGTTTTTGTCCCTAGGCGAAATCTCTGAGCCAGGTCTCTGAAGCTGGGGTGGGGACGATGGTGTGCTTCTGTCTGAATGGCACCCCTGTTTAGGAGTCGAGCATGTGGTGGATGGAAGCCTCAGCTTTTCTTGGCTTCCCTCTCCTGGCATGGAACCACCACCCTTATAAACCACGACAGGGACGACCAAGGCACCAGTACCTTCAGTGACATCCTGCTAAGATAAAGCCCCTGTTCCCTGAGTGGGGACCGAGCAGAAGAAGGGAGTCCCCACCACGTGGCCACGTTTGCCCGGAACTTAGCCTCAGCAACAGGTAGCTGGGGCAGGATGAGAAATGTGGAGGTCCTGCTCCTCCCAGGACGAAAGCCCTTGACAGGGAGCTGCAGGGAGTTCGCCCTGTGCTCCTGGCTGCACCCATCTCCAGGGGAGCTTTCTTCTCACTGAGCTGGGAGCGGGGAGAGAGGGAGCAGTTTTGGCTCAAATACCACAGACTCTTAGCAAATTTAGTTGATTTTCTTGAATAGATGTTTCTCTATTTGCTGTGTACCCTTGGGGCCATTTCCAGATTCTTTAAATGACTGTCCTTTCACACGCCCCCAGTTTCCTTGTAGAGTTCCTTGATGGTGGAATTCCATCTCCTGCAATGGTTTTAACCTAATGTTGGCTTCACTGTTGATCATCTTAAAATGCTATTGTTTGAAGCTGATTCAAACAATAATTTGAATGCAAACTGGATATTTGGTGAATCTAAGGAATTGTTAACATTTTTAGGTGTGATAATATAATAGTATTGTGGTTATTTTATTACCTGGTAGTAATACATACTGAAATATTGACAGATGAAAAAAATATGGTGCATATAATTCATTAAAATAATCAGGTCTGGGCTATAAGTGGTGAGGGGTGGGGGCTACAGATGAAATAAGATTGGCTTTAAGTTGATCATTATTGTATTAATAATTATACCAATAATTACTTATATGAGCTGCAAATGGCAATTCATTGCACTATTCTTTTTACTTTTGTGTGTTTGAAATTTTCCATAATATAAAGTTAAATTTATTTCTACATGTGAAATATACCTTGTTAGATTTTTTTAGAAATCTAAGGTCATCATTTAGTTGAATTAAAATCTTGAAAAGTATATACATATACTTTTTACTTAAGATGTGGATTATGGTTTTATAAAACTGACAGATGAAAACGTCTATGTATTCTATGTTCTGAAACAATCTTGTGTAAGTATCTTTGTAAAATATGTTTTTACTTAAATCAGTTTATTTCCCGGTCTCTGAAATAGCATGAATTTCAAGCAAGTTCCTAATCAAAATTTATTAGATGTTGTAATTGTGTATTACAGGCTGGTTTTGTCATTTCAATCAAAACCATTTTTAGATGAT